AGGGCTAAAAAGTAATAGTAATAGTTGAGTAAATAAAGAGCTAAAAATTGAAATAAAGCAAAATTTAAAAGATAGGTTTCGGTAAAAGAAAACATACAAATTAATATAAATGGTTTACAAATATGGCATTACAGATATAAAATGCTTCATAATGCACATAGAAATTATCAACTGGAACAAACTATTACAGGTGAATAGTATGCACATTACAAGTCTAATTAGGTTACTACAAACCATAAGGGAAGAATACTCTGTGTACTTTACATATCGAATAAGAGTACTACAAGCTTTATATGTACTTTACAGGTCGAAATAAATTACTATAAACTGTTCGAGTTTGGCAATTTTTTTAATCTTCTATATATATTTTCATTAATGTGTGAGATGCCTAAAGGGCATATGAAGTTTTTAGATAAAGTAGGAAATATGAGAAGTACTATTATATACTTTGCCTAAATATTATATAGCGCCTTTAAGGGTGCTTTTCTACTATGGAATAACTGTTCGTGTACATTTGAAATGGTAGGTTTATTTACCTAAATTATCCAAATTTTATATTGCATTTATACAAAATAATTATATTATAATAATTTTTTACAAAATTTGCCTAAAACTACTTTCACCCGATTTAGCTATTATAATTTATAGTTTGGCAAATAACTAGCAAAACTCGCAATTTGTTGGTTAAATCAGTAAATTAAGATAAAACAGTTATTTCTGGGCATATTTTAATGCAGTTTTAGAGAATAATTATAAAAGTAAGAAAATTAAAACAGTTTAAATGAGCATGAACAGTTAGTTCATAACAAGGATGACATTTCTGAACAAGGGTTGCTATGCACTTTTCAATCTCCATGATGCACTCTACCTCCTCTCGTAGTTTGTTACCGTTGCACCCATTACTCTATGGTTGCACCGAGTCATTTGTATTGCCGAATTTCATACACTGACGGTAGAGAATGCACTCACGGTCCCGCAGGATAGGGAAATCAGATGGTATCCCACACAGATGTCTGCGGTACTAATCCCACGGGACTAATCGCACATGTTTATCTACTCAATCTTGCAAGATTGTATTTCATAAGCTTAAAGAATTCTTTAATATTTGTTGTTTCTAATGCCACTGGCCAATACCAGCAAGCCTGCTTAGTGAAACCAAGAGAATTTAAGGCAAAGGGTGCGTTTGTTTTTCAGTGGCGCCATCTATGGTCAAGAATACGACTTTCCACGAATACGAGCCACGCACACGTCACAGCTGTTTATAGTGCTGACCCATTCTTACATCCATTTATTCATCCACAGATCGTTATTTTTACCTGAACCAATCTACAATTCAGCACCCGCAGAGGTATTAATTTGTTAATTCTTCAATATTTAAATGCATTATTGCATTTAAATGTATAATGTATTACTTAAATGCATTATTGGTTTCTGAATCAAATAACATTCAACAGCGATGAACGAATGAGTATTTGCAGCATATAATGATCAGAGAACCAACTCCAACAGTATTTTTAAATCTCTAAAGTGCAGCTAAGTTAAGTGAATCAAACAAAATAAAAAAATCTGACTGGCATTGGGGGAAAGAAAAATAACTGTTTTCGTCTCCGAATCAGAAGATGAGGATGGAAATGAATGCAAGCATTTTGAAAATGGAGAGAAAGAAAATTATGGGCCAGAGATATCATTAAAAGATGAACGAAGTTAGCGATACAAAATCGCATGATTTTTTTTAAAAATCTGAGTTCAGTAAAAAGAAACATGATGAAAATGGAATTGACAAATCTAATTAAAAAAGAAATGAGTCTTTAATAGAAAGGTGTGCATCGCGAGGTAGAGTACTCGAAGCTTGTATGAATACTTACATAAATTCAGAGCCTTTTCTTTGAGTGCGTTATTCATCCCTAAAATTTAATCAGAACTAACTAAGAAACGGCTCGTTGGAATCACTATTTTTTACTTGATTTGCTATTTTTTGGAATCGCATTAACCTTTTAGCGCATAATTTTTATTAAACCCATTTTTCATCCATTTCACATTATTTTGTATTAATTTAGGTCAAAATAAGTGAAAAATGTTATATTGAGCATTTTAATAATTTATGGTTGTGAAATACAGCATGAAACATCGGTGTCTTTCTCTGCATAAGGATAAAATCTTCCAAACAATAATTTTTCAAATGTACACTAATTTGTAGTTATTGAGATCTAAGAAAAACAGTTATTCCTCTTTGAAATTTATTTAATTTGCGAAATCATTGATAAATTTAATAAATAAAAGAATTAAAAAAAAAATTTATAACTGCTTTTTTTTGGATTTTATATTATTTACAAATATTATTCCGATAATCTAACAGATTTTTTTAAAGTAATTATTTCATTGTTTCTTATAATTAAAAAAAAAACATATTATATTTTTGCTTGTAATTAGAGCGCCAGAAAAAATATACATAAAAAGAGACACCGGTGTCCCACTTGGGTCAAAGAGTTACAGCAAAGAAAGTACATTAAGGAAGAAGGCTAGCTTCCATAGACATAATGTAAACCAGTCCTTCAAGGTTTGGTACAGCCCCTGTGTATAAAGGTTAAAAAAAACATATAAGGGCACAACAGCAAAGTTTCTGGAAACAGATTTGCACTCGTCTTCCAACCTCTACTGGGGTTGAGAAGGAGAAGTTTTAATTATTGTTGGTTTGTTCTGCATTTTTATACACATACATATTCCTCTTCCCTCCGAATTGGTGTATAGCGCTTCTATCATAGCTTTTCATCTTACTTTATTTGTGGCCAGATATTTTGTCTCTCCATGTTTTCCTATTGTTTACAATTGTCCTGCTCCAAGTATTATCTGCATTTTTGCACTATTGATAAACAGTACTGTACTGCCGTGCAACTGAAAAATCAATGTAAGCAACAAAAATCCGAAATTGAGGTTTTTATATATTTAGCATCTTTGTATGGTAAGCTATTGTGCGGCTTTGCGGGGAACTCCTCCAGACTGAAAGTCTGGGACAGTCTGCTGCTATGGTAATAAGCGAAAACACATTTCTAATGGGAGTAAAATGGGGGAAAGAAGGTGTCGATTGGTTTACTCACGAAGACCTAAGCTAAGATTAAGACAAAGCTATTCACCACACCCCTATTCGAAGTGACCTTTCCTCGTAACCATAGTACCCGCCACGACGCGAGACTGGTGTTTGGAGTTCTCCTGAAAGCCGCACTATACATATATGTATATTGCAAATAAATAAAAATATTTTGTTTTCTTTGTTTTTAAATTCTATTTCAGTATTCATAGCATTTGCAATAGAAGGAAAATAGTTGTAAAGCCAGTTTTCTCGGAATCAATCTAAAGCACTCACCTCGTTTTATCCAATTGTACGGCAGTGTACGATTGATTAAGATATCTCTTTGAGAATACATTTTTAACATCCACGTTGATTAAATCAGCTAGCACATTTCAACATAAAAAGAAATAATAAAATGTTGGTTGGCGGGAAACAGCGCATCCAATCATACACGTAAAGTTGCCCAAGAACCGGTACACAGGTGGAGTATCACCTAACAGTCATTTTCTTTCGCACGCGCATGCGCTGGATATATGATGTTCTGCTAAACCTGAGTATGTTTTTCTAGTACAGCATACTGTTTCGAGCAGTTAATTACATATTCGACTAGCTGGACTTCTCGTTTCTGTATTCTTTGGTTAAAGAAATAAATACTACGAAGAATAACTAACCCTTAAACTTCTACAAAATTTTCATAGCTTCAGAAAATATTTCCCCTTTGTGGCATACGGAAGTAACGAAGACGTAGAGACATTTTAATAAAAAAAGTATTTGGATGCTGTAGATATTTACAAGACAGTATTATTTGCTACATACATATATTTTAAACAGATGTAAAAATAAAAGTCCAAATATCAAATGGTCATGTTCAAATTAAAAATTTTTTTAAATTTAAATAAAATGTTTGCTTTTGTTCGCAACTAATGCAAAAAATATTTCGCGACAAGCTCAAGCGTTGGAGGGTATGTAATTGTAAATACGTTTTTATTGTATACTTAATTTTCATTATTCTCTAGGTATTGACTTTACAGAAGATTAAATTTCCTATTGTTTAAAGCTCGTATTTTTTTTATGCTTCTGACTGTTGTCAGATACAGCTTACTAATTTAATTCCAGGTTTAAATGGAATGCTTCATTGAGATTAATCAATCCGGTGGGAAGAGTAAATTTCAATCTCGAAATTCCGTGCGGGATTGCTAAATTGACGGTAAATACAATAGATGAAAGCCTCATTAACTGTTAGCCAATTTACACATAAAATAATTAAGTCGAATTAGGTAATAAACTTTTCTTTCAATTTAACAAACGTAGTTTTAGAATCCTTAAAAATAAAGTTGAAATAAAGTACGCATATAAGGGATAACGAATTAATATTTTAAAAAAAGGGAAAACAATGTAACGGAAATCTCACAAATGGCTAATGAAGACGGTTATAAAGCATCAAAACTTAACTTATTGCCTGCTAAAACTCGAAAGTGTTTCTTGTAATCGCTTTTTTTTTGTTTACTCGCACAAATAATTTGGATTTTTGAAATCTCTCCATTCCCAATATTGATTCTTTAGATTTAGAGAGCATCTGCTTATTTTTTCAATTTTATTCTTAACAAGGATTCTAAACAGAACCGTGGTGGCTCAGAGGATAGAGCGTTTGCCTACAAAAAGGAGATGCAGGTTCGAATCCCAGCGGTGGCTGGTTGATACGAAGTTTGCTCCCGGCTCGTACCGGCCACAGTGCTGACGTAATATATCCTCAGTGATAGGCGGATCACAGATTAGAATTCCCATGCTGTTAGGCTAACCGTGGGAGGTTGAGAGTTTTTACACTCCGTGTAACGCAAATGTGGGTTAGTTCCCTCAGAAGGTCCACCACGAAGGCTAGTTTGTCCTAATGTTTGATGTTTGATTCAGGATTTCTCTAGTATTCTGGATGAAGTTCAAAAGTGCAAGGATGCGGAGTTCAAGGATGCGGAGTTCAAGGATGCGGAGTTCAAGGATGCGGAGTTCAAGGATGCGGAGTTCAAGGATGCGGAGTTCAAGGATGCGGAGTTCAAGGATGCGGAGTTCAAGGATGCGGAGTTCAAGGATGCGGAGTTCAAGGATGCGGAGTTCAAGGATGCGGAGTTCAAGGATGCGGAGTTCAAGGATGCGGAGTTCAAGGATGCGGAGTTCAAGGATGCGGAGTTCAAGGATGCGGAGTTCAAGGATGCGGAGTTCAAGGATGCGGAGTTCAAGGATGCGGAGTTCAAGGATGCGGAGTTCAAGGATGCGGAGTTCAAGGATGCGGAGTTCAAGGATGCGGAGTTCAAGGATGCGGAGTTCAAGGATGCGGAGTTCAAGGATGCGGAGTTCAAGGATGCGGAGTTCAAGGATGCGGAGTTCAAGGATGCGGAGTTCAAGGATGCGGAGTTCAAGGATGCGGAGTTCAAGGATGCGGAGTTCAAGGATGCGGAGTTCAAGGATGCGGAGTTCAAGGATGCGGAGTTCAAGGATGCGGAGTTCAAGGATGCGGAGTTCAAGGATGCGGAGTTCAAGGATGCGGAGTTCAAGGATGCGGAGTTCAAGGATGCGGAGTTCAAGGATGCGGAGTTCAAGGATGCGGAGTTCAAGGATGCGGAGTTCAAGGATGCGGAGTTCAAGGATGCGGAGTTCAAGGATGCGGAGTTCAAGGATGCGGAGTTCAAGGATGCGGAGTTCAAGGATGCGGAGTTCAAGGATGCGGAGTTCAAGGATGCGGAGTTCAAGGATGCGGAGTTCAAGGATGCGGAGTTCAAGGATGCGGAGTTCAAGGATGCGGAGTTCAAGGATGCGGAGTTCAAGGATGCGGAGTTCAAGGATGCGGAGTTCAAGGATGCGGAGTTCAAGGATGCGGAGTTCAAGGATGCGGAGTTCAAGGATGCGGAGTTCAAGGATGCGGAGTTCAAGGATGCGGAGTTCAAGGATGCGGAGTTCAAGGATGCGGAGTTCAAGGATGCGGAGTTCAAGGATGCGGAGTTCAAGGATGCGGAGTTCAAGGATGCGGAGTTCAAGGATGCGGAGTTCAAGGATGCNCAGTTGTAAGCGAATTATAAATAGTATATAAATTTAGGACGATGTTTAGAGAACACCCCGAATGGCAAAGTTTTATCCAACTGTAAATTTCACACTCTTCACACTGCCATAAAGAGAACTTAAAGTGAATAAGCCACAACAGAAATTCTCCAAAATTAACTTTCACCACAAAAGATAAAAATGCAACTTAACAAAGCCATTTCTAAATTTGAATTGTTCCGAATAAATTTCCAGCTATCTATTACTTCCCTAACTTATGAAGTTCGAAATGACTCCCCCCTCAGCCATTTTCCAACAGAACGACGGAAAATATGACAATATCTTTTAGCAGCAGAGGGGAACGACGAAATTCCCTTAGAAAATTACAGTAGCTCTCCATTTCCGTCTCCATTATTGAGAGATAAGCAGGGGCGGCAGGTGGTCTCGTTAGAGCCCTAGAATGGGGCGTCACCGGATCGAAACAGCGTTCCTCTTGAGCGACCTTGCCTGCCTGAGGGGACTGGTGAGTTTATGATCAGTGACAGCTAAGAAAGGGTTAGGAGTGTACCAGCTGTGACCATCCATACCCCTGGTTAACTGGTTCTTGTTTGTCCAGTAAATGATGTGAAATGACTGCAATTATAGAGATGAGTAGGAAAAAGAATTAACCGAACTGTTTCTGACGAAACACGGCAGTTAAGGGGGAAATAGATAAAACTATTGATTATCAGAAATAAAATAGAACTTTAGAAAATTTCTTGAGATGGAATTTTAAAGTAGTTTAGCTTTCACAATGTCTCATCTTTTTCAGTCTCCTGCTTCCATTATAGACCAAGCTTCAATTTTCAATTCATAGTTACTAAAAGGGGAAAAAAACACTTTTTTTTAAGCGTTGTTCTTTCTGATTAGTCACTGTATTTTTTCTTACAACGTTGAGAATTATTATAATATAGCACAGAATATAATTAAAAATTAAAAGCTTCGCCTTTTCGCGGGGTCAATAATGAACCCTACTTTGTACGTAATACGTAAAAAAAAAAAATTGTAATCTGTCACTTTGTCTAGAAAATTTACTGTGCGGCGGAGCACGCATATATCTATATATAGAGAGAGAAGATTGAGAAATATCGCATTTATCGCTATTTTATTTTATTCTGTTTTGTTGAAGTATGAAGAAGTTAAAGTAAAATCCATTGAACTCTATTTTGCAGTGCGAAGAATTATCTAGCATATATTTACTCAATATAGATAAATTTATATATACTTTGTAGTGAAAAATTATGTTCCATTCGAATTGTTTTGGATTATTTTGATTTATTACAACATTTTATTACAACTTCATATTGTAGACAAACATCAGTGTACTAGCCCTTTTTGGCGAACTTGGTCACCTTTCAAAATTATCTTGTAGTAAATATTCTAATTTTTCAAAATCTCCTTCAATCCTAACACCTTGATTAGTTTTAAACAATATTTTCACCAATTTTTTTTTCACCGTCTAGCTGTTGTCCCGCGACTTTGCCAGCGAAGTACTTTGGCTTTACTTTTTACTATTTTCAAGAGACGTCTACAATGTAGTCTATGTATTGAATTTTAGTAATAATTTAAAATCTTTAATATCCACGAAATCACACAAACTACCATAAGTATGAGATCGGGACATTTTAGAATAGTAGACAGCAGAAATATTAAAATTTTATCCATCCCAAATATATCAACATAATTTCTTCGTAACTAAGTTTTTTCTTGGATAGAAATACAAAATCATTCCAAACAAATACTTAACGTATAACTAGCTATTCAACTCTACTTAAATTATTACTTCAGACAACATAATAAAGTGAATCTAAATAAATACTTTAACTAATTTAACTCTACTAAATCATTACTTAAGACAATCTAACGAAATAAAGAATAATTCATTATAGTGCTGCCTATAAAAAAATATCCGAATTTATGGTGCCACATAAGAGAAGTATATATATATATATATAGATTATATTCAATATACCGTAATATTTTAATAAAACCTTTGGGAAGAGCAAAGAAAATATAAAAATCATTAAAAACTAGCTTTATTTATCTAAGTGGGACTTGGAATGCTTTTGCCATTCCACAGGACCAATCTTTGTTAGGAATTTCTACCTGATCAACAGAGGGCGTTGTAACCAGTCATACTAATTCTGTATGCATTACTTGTGTGGCAGGGACCGGACCGGTTAAGAATGTTTATTGGAAAGTTTAACAGATATCGTACTATCATATTGCTTGTTATTTTTTTTACTACTGTTAAATTCGTTTGCTATCAAATATGGCCTCTTTATTCAATGCACCCATTCGCCACTGAATCAGCCTTTAAGCTATATCGATATATTTATCGATTTTAATTACTTCTTTATTTTTACTGACATCAATAATGATTTTTCAGAGTTGATGAAATATTTTTTCCTCACATAACTCATTCAGACTACAGTTGTAGCGAAAACGTAACATCTTGCGGTTATAATGTTTTTACAAAACAATTTGTAGGGCATTTATGCTTTATAAAGACTAATCTGATAGTTTCTTGTGTTGGATTCCAATTAATTTAGGAATATTTTTAATTGTAAAGTTTTTACCTATATGTTTAAATTATTAATATATTTTTTCAATGCGAATTCTTGAAGATTTAAATCAAGAAAAATTTGAATGTTAATCCGTATTCCTTTAATAAGTTAGAAATTTATGTTGACCCTTGATCTACGTACGCGTTTTATTTCACTTTTTTTTATAACGTTTTTAAAAATATATATCAAAGACTTTCACAACAATCCGCCCTCTACATATATACTTCAAACTACTACTTAATTTCCGGAGTTTCTGGAAAATATTTTTACTTGCGGTAACGAACAATTATTTTCTAATATATAATCTCATCTTTTTCCATATCATTTCTCAATTTTTCTAAAAATATTTAATAAGAAACTTACACCATATCATAAAAATTTCAATTAACCGTTTAATATTTTTAACTGGTTGAAAAAGTTGACGAAACAATAAAAAAATATGAAAAACTTACTTAAAAATTGACCTAGAGAGAAAGCAGATAATTGAAGATTACAATAGAGGAATCCTAAAATGTCGTCCTCCAATGAAATAAGCTTTCAATAGCTAAATATTTCCACATGTGAAATTCAACTTAAAATAATCGTATGTTGTCAACTAGTGAATAAAGGGAAAGTCATATTACAGGAACAGACAGGTTCCGATTGATATTTTATTCCGTTCTAACGCTGTATTGAAATAATTAGTGGGATAAGTCCGTCGATACATAAAGGGTTAAAAAATTGACAGAAATAATCAAATTTTACTATAAACATTCTTTTTACCAGAAATGAAATGCTTCAAATTGACAAACGGGATTTTATCGAAAATTCAGTAAATGGTAGGCGTTTCCCCTCAGCTACATCTTTGATGTTACATTGTCAACCCTGTTTAATCAAACACTAGTTATTCCATCATCGATATTTCATTAAGTGCGTTATTCTGGAATTCGGTAGAGTTTGAACTATTTTACCGCATCTTTAATGTATGTTTTGAAATCCTAAATAATGATCGATAGAAATTAAAACGAGCATTTATTTTAAAAATCAATTTTTTGCAAAGTACTAAAAAGCAATAAAACAAACTTACTACACAAATGGGTCAGTGAGTTAGTTTCAAGAGACTAAAAGATTTTTCTACTGTTACATTACTTTAGAAAAAAAAACAGTACTTATCGCTTTATCCAGCGAAGTCCTTTTATTAGACAGGAAGCTTTAACATAGTGTCTGGAAGGAGACGTCTGGCGCAATATGGTTTCAATAAATGGTGTATATATATATATATTTACTCCGAACTCGTTAAGTTATGTTCATAACTATTCAGTATATGTTAGTTAAAATTTAAAAAGAATGTTTAATAAAATGACTTTTCCACTTTCGGAAAAATATCTTTCGAACGTTTTCTTTGATTTTTTTTTAAGGTTCAATACTTACATCAATTTTGTTTTAGTTATTTCTGGTTTTACAAAAAGAGTCATTAATATTAAAATTAGAATTAACTAATCTAAGACAAATTCACATTGTAAAATAAGCCTTTATACAGCAGAGTTTTAAAAAATAATCCAAAAGAAAAGTCAGAATTTTAACATAATACAACTAAGAGAAAGAGTAACTAGATCGATTTTCGCAACTGCAGTAGCCTTAAAAATTATTGTCTAAAAATAAACCTATTGCGATTGAGCTAAATGTATACAGTTATGGGGTGTAATAAAATTAAGAGTAATACTTGTGGGGAAGGGGGCAGAACTTGCCGAAACGAATTTCTTCTACCATACAATGTTGGGTCGCTAATTTACAATCCATCAGCTCTCTCGCTATTTGAGTTTTTCTTCTTGGCTGTATTTGGTCACAGTTATGATACAAGCTCTATTTTCTTAAATTTTTTTTTACCTGAACTTCAAAAAATAAATAAATAAATAAAAATCAAATTTTTCTCTTTGTTTTTTTTCTTTTAATTTTTATGTAAGGAAATGCCATGAAAAGAACATGTTTTTAAAGCCCGCTGGATTGGGAAAATATCGTTGCCGGGTCAGAAATCAAAGGACGAACAGCGTTAAGGCGACTACTAGGTAAAAATGGAGAATGCAATTAAAACGAATAATAAAAAAACAAAGAGTCTATTATCGAAAAGTTTGCAACAGATGCTCAAACAAGTGACACGCTCTGTAAAAAACGCTGGTGTACTATTGCAACCATTTTTGGAGCTAAATACATTAAGTACAGAAGCTATATCGTGGAAAAAATAAATGAAATTGTCGAAATAACAATTGTTGGAAAGAATTAGTACGAATATATTACAAAAAAAATGTGCTTGTTTTTTTTTAAACAGAATGTTTTTGCAATGAAACCATAAAATTGATTCTAATTCGCATGAAATATGCGTTGCCAGTAAACAAAAATAACAGTAAAAAATGTGACTACAAGCGTTGTAAAACATTTTAGTTCACCTCAACACCAAA